GAGGAGGAGGAGGAGGAGGAGGAGGGGAAGGAGGAGGGGGAGGAGGATGACAAGCTAGGTGCGCTCGCGTCCTATCTGACGTCTTACCCCTCCCTTCCATCCCTTACCATGGCGTAGATAACCTCTCTATTCGCACAGTCGGATGTCGTAGCATGGCATAGCATTAAATGGCATAGCATCGTGTTGAAGATCAACGCGTAGCATGACATAGCATGGCGTGGCGACGGCCCAAAGTGTGGGGGGGGGCTTCTGCGGTCCCAACTATTCAACGATTTGACACCGAATGTGCAATCACTTCCGATGGTTTTTTACGGTGGGGCATTTTCTGGATTTTGGGGCCTAATTGGAAGGACCGAAAACTGCCGTGACATGGCGCTGGAAATAATGACGCCAGCGCTGCAGCGGGAGCACGATTCGGAACGAATGGAAGCGCGGAAATGAGGCCAGCGCTGCAGCGGGAGCACGATTCGGAGGACGCGTAGTCTGAAATAGTATGGCGTGGCGACGCCCCAAAGTTGGGGGCTTCCTCGGGCCAAAAAATCAACGAATCGACGCCGAATGTGTAATCACTTCCGCTGGTTTTTCCAGGGGGCATTTTTTAGATTTTGGGGCCTATTTGGAAGGACCGAAAACCATGCCGTGGCATGGCGCTGGACATGATGACGCCAGGGTTGCAGCGGGAGCACGATTCGGAGCGAGCGGAAGCGCGGAAATGAAGCCAGGGCTGCAACGGGAGCACGATTCGGAACGAGCGGTAGCCCGAAAATATGACCAGCGCTTCAGCGAGAGCAGCATCTTGAAACAGCACCCAAGCGAAATCCCGTTTCCTGGGGGACCTCGTGTGCAAGGAAACAGTACGCGGAAGGGGGGCCGAACATTTCCCGGACGTCGCCCAGGGAGAGAGGAGAGTAACATTCATCTTGTGTAGGTGCGGAGGTGGAGGAGCCGGAGGACGTCGACATACAACCCACGCCGCAGAAAGGCGACCCCCGCAGGTCCCCTCGACTCCGAGGTGCGTGGGCGATCCCCGCACCGACGGCGGCCCGCGCGCGGCCGCCACGGCGCACGACGCGCCGCGAGAGCCCTCCCTCGACGCGCGGCGCACGCCGCACGACGCCTTCGCCGACGTCTCCGCCGCCGCCGCCGCCGCTGCCAGGCCGCGCGCCGCCCGGCGGCGTCGCCGCTCCGCGCGAGGCCGCCGCCGCCGCCGCCGCCGCCGCCGCGGGAGGCCGCGCGCCGTGCGCTGCCGGGGCTGCGGAGCGCCGCCGCCTCTGCGCCGAGTTCCTGGCGTGCGCGGGGGCCCGCGCAGGCGCCGCGGCCTTGGGCGCTCCGGGGGGCCGGCCGGCGGGCGCGGGCGCGGCCGCCGCCGCCGAGCATCGAGGGGCCGAGGATCTGCCTCTGCCTCCCTCCCTCCCTGCCTCCTCCCGCCTGCCTCCTCCCTCCGCCCTCCTCCCTCCTCGCCACTGGAGGCTCGGGCCGGCGGCGAGCGAGGGGGGGGAGTGAGAAGGAGAGGGCCCTCTGGAAAGGCGGGGGGGGCTTCTTAGAAACCCTCGCGCCACCTGATCAGTTTTGCGTGTCCTCGGGGAAGGTTTCAAACAGCTCATCAGAAGGCCGGAGGATGTCCGAGACTCGCCGCCGAGGATGGATGAAGATGGCGAGGAGACGGGGAGGAGGAGATGGGAGAGGTGGGAGGAGGGGGGACGAGAAGAAGCAGAGGGAAGGGGGACGGGGAGGGGAGGGGCGGGAGGCGCGGCTGCAACGGGAGGACGAAGAGACCCCCGATCCTTCGGGCGCTGCTGCCGCTGCGGCACCCTGCGAGGGGGGCGGCTTTTCGAAACGGCTATCCGGTACCCAATCGGCTATTTCCCCCCCAGCTCGCCGTCGGACTCCGGTTCGGTCCGACTTTCCGCCTCGGCGCCGGCAGATCTTGCCGCCGTCGTCGCCGCCGCCGCCGCCGTCGCCCGCCGGGCAACGCGGGGCGCGCCCGCAGCGAGGAACGCCGTCGTCGTCGTCGTCGTCGTCGTCGTCGTCGTCGTCGTCGTCGTCGTCGTCGTCGTCGTCGTCCCTGTCGTCGTCCTTGTCGTCGTCGTCGTCCTTGTCGTCGTCGTCGTCGTCGTCGTCGTCGTCGTCGTCGTCGTCGTCGTCGTCCTTGTCGTCGTCCTTGTCGTCGTCCTTGTCGTCGTCCTTGTCGTCGTCCTTGTCGTCGTCGTCGTCGTCGTAGATCGTCGTCTTCGTTCGTCGTAGTTTGTCGGTCGTCGTCTTTGTCGTTCCTTGTGTAGTCGTTGTGTGTCGTCGTCGTCGTGTCGTGTCGTCGTGTTCGTCGTCGTCGTTCGTCGTCGTCCTTGTCGTCGTCTTGTCGTGTCCTTGTCGTCGGTGTCGTCGTCGTGTCGTGTCGTCGTGTCCTCGGTGTCGGGCTCCGCGGCGCCGCCGCGTGTTCGTCGTTTGTCGTGTCTTTTGTCGCCGTCCGTCGCCGGCCGCCGCGCGCCGCCGCGGCCGCCGCGCGCGTGCAGGGCTCGCCGACGGCGCGCGCGGAGCAGGCGCGGCCGGCGGCGCAGGCGGGGCGCCGGCGGGGGGGCCGCGGGTGGGCGTGCGGGGCCGGTCGGCGCGGGCGGCTCGTGGCGGAGGCGCGGGGGGCGCTGGATGGGCTGGTCGAACAGGGATAAGGGGGGCGGAGGAGGAGGAGGCGGAGGGAGGAGGAGGAGGAGGGAGAGGAGGAGGAGGAGGGGAGGGAGGAGGAGGAGGAGGAGGAGGATGGAGGAGGAGGAGGTGGAGGAGGAGGAGGAGGAGGAGAGGAGGAGGAGGAAGGAGGAGGAGGAGGAGGAGGTGGAGGGGAGGAGGAGGAGGAGGGGGAGGAGGAGGAGGAGGAGGAGGAGGAGGAGGGGGAGGAGGAGGAGGAGGAGAGGAGGAGGGGAGGAGAGGAGGAGGAGGAGGAGGGGAGGGAGGAGGCGGTAGGAGGAGGAGGGGCGGAGGAGGATGAGGAGAGGAGGAGGAGGAGGAGGTGGAGGAGGAGGGGAGGAGGAGGAGGGGAGGAGGAGGAGGAGGAGGAGGAGGAGGAGGAGGAGGAGGAGGAGAGGAGGAGGAGGAGGAGGGGAGGCGGAGGAAGGAGGAGGATGAGGAGGAGGGAGGAGGGGAGGGAGGAGGTAGGAGGAGGAGGAGGAGGAGGAGGAGGGAGGAGGAGGAGGAGGTGGGGAGGAGGAGGGGAGGAGGAGGAGGAGGAGGAGGAGGAGGAGGGGGGGGCGTGGATTAGCGACGGGTCCTGTTTCCATGGGGAATCGCGGATTTCCGCCGCCGACGAGGCGGCATCGGCCGGATTCTGGGAAGGGCGCCTTCTCCGATCCATGGATTTGGCGACCGCGCGCCAGATCCATGGATCGCTAATCCATGTTTGCGCGCCCCCGACAGACTTAGGTCGGGCATGTCCCCCTGCAGGCGGATTTTGGGCGAAAATGTAAACAGTGAAAAACTATTCAGACATTGTCAAAAGTAGTCGAAAAATGGTCCCCGGGCTATTGTTTGACTATTTTTGAATGTTCCTCCTGTAGAGGGCACGCCCGACTGAAGCCCAGACAGGCCGCGGAAGAAATTAGCGTTCAGCCGAGCATGGGAATATTCAAGAATAGTCAAAATAGTCTCGGTGCGATTTATTTCGAGTATTCTTATTTTCGTCCCCACTCCGCCCGTAGGAGGACATGCCCGACCTCAAACGGGGGAACACTCATGCCACATTCATTTGTCAATGCCCCTCCCCCGCCCCAATGATCAATGCTGGCGGTGGGTTGAACGAGTTGCACTTCGACCGCAGTCTTCCCCGCGGGAGCGGGGGAGTGTCCACTCATTGCTTCCCCCTACAATCAGGCGGTCGCAAACATGGATCAAGGGGGCGTGGATTAGCGACGGACCCCGTTTCCATGGGACATCCGGTAGGGGGAAGCATTGACATTGCTTCCCCCTACCAGATGAGCGGAGCAGAGCATCGGATTCGACTGCGTCCCGACATTCGTGCGCAAGCTGCCCGCGCAAGGTCGCGCGTGCGAGCCCTCGCTTCCAGTGCGGCGTGGCGCGGGGGCGGCCCGCGTACGCTGCCGTGTAAGGTCGCTGTGCCATCTCGCTAGGGCCTCCTCCTTTTCGTCGCCCTGCTGGGGAACGCCCGCCTCGCCACAGGAAGGCGCACGATCTGTTGACACCGTTTCTGTTCAAGTCGGAGGTTGATAGACCTCCTACCCTCACACGTCGATTAAGGAATTGGCCATCTTCGGTTCGCGAGAGGGCGTCGCCGCCGTCATTCAGATCCGTCGGTTTCGGTACTGGGTTGTTTTTACCAAGGGGAGGTTTACTAAAGGGAGGTTTGTCCACCGCCGAACAATCAGTTGGAAGGCAGTTCATCACTGGAGGTGAGCCAGGTAGCTCTTGGCGCTGCATCCTTGTGTCTGTGGCCGCACACGCCTGCTAGGAAAAAGGAGACCCGGAAGGGTAGGGGAACCCGAAGGCACGTCTTGAGCCCTCGGCCCCGAGGGCCCCCCAGGAGACCCCAAGAGGGCCCCCAGGAGGCCCCCAAGAGGCCCCAAAGAGGCCCCCAAGGGGCTGGCGGGCCGACGGCGGCGAGGTTGTCGACAGATCGACGACGACGATAGGCGGCGGCGGCGACGGCGAGTACGACGACGGCGACGTCGCCAGACCGACGACGACGGCGGCAGCGGCGGCGGCGGCGGCGACGAGGGACCGACGAGGAACGACGACGACGACGACGATGACAGACAAAAGGGCAGACCAACGACGACGGGCTGATGGACGACGACGACGACGACGACGACGACGGACGTCGACGCCGCCGCCATCGCCCGTCCTCGACCGTCGTCGGACGTCTTCGCCCGTCGTCGTTCGTCGCTCTTCCCCGTCGCTCGTCGCTCGTCGCTCGTCGTCTTCTTCGTCGTCGTCGTCGCTGGTCGTCGTCGTCGTCGCTCGTCGTCGCCGTCGCCGCCGTCGCCGTCGCCAGCGGCCAGGCGGCGGCTGCCTCGCGGCCCTCGGCCCCCACGCGGCGCCCCTGGCGGTGGCCTGCCTGCCGCTGTGGGGGCCGAGCTGGGAGGCCGAGGGCCCCGGCCAGGGGCGGCGGGGGCGGCGGCCCGTCGGGGGGCACTCGCCTTCGGCGGCTTGCGCTCCCAGGCGCTCCCAGGGTTCCCGGGCGCCCCCCGGCGGATCCAGGCGCCCTGCAGGGGCTCCCAGGCGCTCCCAGGCGCTCCCGGGCGCTCCCGATCGGATCCAAGCGCTCCCAGGCGCTCCCAGGCGCTCCCAGGCGCTCCCAGGCGCTCACAGGCGCTCCCAGGCGCTCCCGGGCGCTCCCGAGCGGATCCAGGCGCTCCCGAGCGGCTCCCGGGCGCTCCCAGGCAGGTCGCGGGGCGACGGCGGCGGGGACGGCGGCGACGGTGCGGCTGGGCGCGGCGGCGCGGGTGGACGCGGCGACGTGGCTGGAGACGAACGAATTGGAGCGCTGCGCTGGATGGGCCCCAGGTGCCCGTCTCGAAGGTTTTTTTCGCGGGCCTTCCAGGATAATTAGGGTGGATCGAGAATCGGGGTGGATCGAGGAGGACTGAGGAGGAGGATCCAGTGGCAGAGGTTCGAGGAGGATCGATGAGAAACAGGGGGTGGCGGATGATCCATGTGTATCAAAGAGAGTCGAGAAGGACACATGAGAAGTGTACATACCACTCAGCGTTGTCTCGCATTCCGATCTAGACTGACCGTGCCAGCAGACATTTGTGTGTGTGTGTGTGTGACTTGCGAACGTCCTTTTCGCAGACACGCGCGGAACCAGAGTGCGACTTGTCCGTGCGTGCGCGTGGATCTGTTTCTTCGTGTGCTGACATCCTGGCCGAGGCCGTGGCCCTGGCGGCGCTCGGCCCACCCCGACTCTCCGACTGCCTCCGCAGCGTTGCTGCGCGCGTGGCCGCGACGCTAATCCTGGAGGCCATCGTGGACCCTGTCTGAGACCCTCTTGGAACCATCTTGGGCCATCTTGGACGCCCTAACACCTCCGCCGGCCCCCCCCCCTTCAGGCCCAGGGCAGGGGGTAGGGGACGGGGCCCCTCCCCCGAGCAGGGGAGGGAGGGATTTTGTTAGAGAGAGAGAGAGAGAGAGAGAGAGAGAGAGGGAGAGGGAGAGAGAGAGAGAGAGAGAGGGATATAGAGAGAGAGAGGGAGAGAGAAAACAAAGTCCGTTAGAACAGGTTTAAAGCCCCTGAGTGCAAACATTGTTCGGGGACATACACACGCACACGCACACACATGTGTGTGTGTATACATATAACGGCGCACCGGGTCCGGGGGCCCGGGGCCGGGACCCCGACCACAAATGTGGGCCCCGGGGGGCCCGGAGGCTCGTCGGACCGCCGGACGCCGTCCAAGATCGTTCGCAGGCGGCTTCGGAACGCGCTCCGATGGCTCCAGATGCCTTCCAAGACGCCTGTCATGACACCAAGAAGGTCCCAGAAGCCTCCAAGACGCTCCGAGAGGCAGCCCAAGAGAGGCCCAAGAAGCAAAAATCGTGCCATTCCTATGGGAAAACGTATATTTTTCGCATGTTCGCCTCTTGGGCTTTCACCGCGTCCAAGACGGCCCAAGAGGCGCCCAAGACGGTCTACGAGGCCTCCGGGAGCGCTCCAAGGCTGCGCACGAGTGGCCCAGGACGGCCCCAAGACGGCCGAAGAGAGCCCCAAGACGAGTTCGAGAGGGGTCCCAGAGGGAGAAAGCCAACCTCGAATTCCGAGCTTCCGGCCCAAGAGGCTCCAGGAGGCGCCAAAATGCCGCCAAGAGGCGCCAAAAGGCTCCCAAAAGCACCCCAAGACGTTCCGAGAGGCACCCCAAGAGAGGTCCAAGAAACAAAAATCGTGCCATTCCTATGGGAAAACGTATATTTTTCGCATGTTCGCATCTTGGGCTTTCACCGCGTCCAAGACGGCCCAAGAGGCCTCCAAGACGGCCTAGGAGGCCTCCGGGAGCGCTCCAAGGCTGCGCACGAGTGGCTCAGGACGGCCCCAAGACGGCCCAAGAGAACCCCAAGACGACTTCGAGAGGGGTCCCAGAAGGAGAAAGCCACTCTCGAATTCCGAGCTTCCGGCCCAACATATCCCAGGAGGCGCCAAAACGCCGCCCAGAGGCGCCAAAAGGCTTCCAAAATCAGCCCAAGACGTTCCGAGAGGCACCCCAAGAGAGGTCCAAGAAACAAAAATCGTGCCATTCCTATGGGAAAACGTATATTTTTCGCATGTTCGCATCTTGGGCTTTCACCGCGTCCAAGACGGCCCAAGAGGCCTCCAAGACCGCCCCAAGACGGCCCAAGAAGCTTCCAAGAGGGCCCCAGGACAGCCCAAGAGGGCCCCAAGACGGCCCAAGAGGCGCCCAAGATGGCCCAAGAGGGCCCCAAGACGGGCCCAAGAGGGGGCCCAGAGGGGGACCACGAACCGCAAGCTCGAGCCTTCCGCCCCAAGAGGCCGCCAGGAGGCCCCAAGGAGGCCCCTCAAGAGGCCCCAGGAGACCCCCAAGAGGCCCAAAGGAGGCCCCGAGAAGCCCCAAATCGGCCCCCAAAATGCTTCGAACCTGCTTCCAGGAGGCCCCCGACAGGTTCAGAGGCTCCCGAGAAGCTACGTCAAACTCCCAGCGAGCGGCCGGACGAGGCCCCCCACAAAATCACAAGAGGGTTCCAGTATTTGTGTCCTTCAGCGCTCTCTGGCCTTCTTCCCCCTGCCCCCTTCCCTGCGACTTTCGTTGACTCAAGCTCGCCTCCTAGCTAGAACCTAAGCGCGCGAAGCGCGCGCGTGGTTCTAGTGTGTATATATATATATAGACACGTGTAGATACACATGTGCACGTAACAGTGGGATTTGCTTGTGCTGAGGGGAGGCTGGCGGTGTACACTCCACCACTAAGAGCCAGCGACTCTGCAGACACGTGGGGAACAGCTGGTCGGCGGACGTCTGCGTGCCCATTCTCGCGGCGCATCTCGCCTTCGGCCCTCGACCGCGGCGCGGCCCAGGGCGCGCCCGCGAACCCCGCCAGCGAGCAGCTGGAGGCCCCGCTCCCCCGCCGGCGCCGGCCTCGGGCGGGGCCCTTGCCGCTCCCGTCGTCGCCGCCAGCGGCGCCGCCGTCGCCGGTGCCGCCGTCGTCGTTGCCGCCGCCATCGCCGCCGCCGCCGCCGCCACTGCTGCTGCCGTCGTCGCCGCCGCCGCAACCCGCGTCGTCGCAACTGGCGTCGGGCGTCGTCGCAACCCGCGTCGTCGTCGTCGTCGTCGTCGTCGTCGTCGCCGTCGCCGTCGCCGTCGCCGCCGCCGCCGCCGCCGCCGTCATCGCCGTTGTCGTCGCCAAGGTGGTCTCCGTCGCCGTGGCCGTCGCCTTCGCCCTCTCCAGCCGCCGACGTGGGCCGTAGTGGGCTGTCTTGAGGCGATCCTAGGGGCCTCTTGGGCCGTCTTGGAAGTCCTTACTGTCGAGAAGGTGATTACGCCAGAATCGTGCAGCATCCTGCGGGAATTCTGTGATTTCTGCATCTTGGGGCTCCTGTTCGGCTACCCTTGGGCCGGGAGCCCACTGGGTCGTCTGCGGCCACCTGTGTCAGTCTTTGGGCCGTCTTCGTCGTCTCGGGGGTCTCTTCGGGGCCTGTCGAGGCCTTCTTAGGATCGCGGTGCCGTCTTGGACCCTCTTGGGGCGGCCAGGACCAGGCCAGGCTGTTCGCGCCTCAAGTTGTGGCGCATTATTTGTCCTCATTTTTTTTCCAGGGGAGTCGGCGTATTACTACAGCCGTGCGTATGTGCGTATGTGCGTATTTACGTATGTACGTATGTATATACACATTCAGATATGTATATGTATATGTAGATGTATATGTATATGCATATGTATATGTATATGTATATGTATATGTATATGTATATGTATATGTATATGTATATGTGTATGTATATGTACATGTATATGTACATGTATATACATATATATATATATATATACATGTACATATATATATATATACGTATACACATGTACACGCATACTTATATATATATATGTATATATATATATATATGCATGTATGTATACATATATTTATATATACATCTCTCTCTATATATATGTTTGTATATGCACACACATGTCGCAGCAGAAAGCCGGGGGTGGGCCCAGAACCAGGGCCCTGGGTTCGCATGGGGGCTCTGGGGGCCCCACGAGCGCCCCCGTGGCCTCCACAGTGGCCCCGTTGGCGCACAGATGGCCCCAAGATTGTCCACCACACCCCGGGAGCGCCGAAGGTGCCTTATGAGCGGCCTCCGAAGGCTGCCATGCTGCGCCAGGACGGCCTCGGGCAGGCGTCAGAAGGCACCCGAGGCCCCAGACGAGTGCCCCCTGGACTGGAGGCAAGCATTGTTGATTTCGCCTCGGGTTTCCAATGTTTTCTGGGTCCTGCACTTTTCGAGTTTGAGTCAATCGCAGACGGCCCAGGAGGCCCACAAGACCGCCCTAAGACGGGGCAACAGGCCCCGAGGAGGGCCCGGGAACAGCTTAACAGGGCTCCATGACAGCCCCAGGGGCGCCCAAGACGGCTCAAGAGGGCCTGAAGATGGCCCCAAACCGAAATTTCGAGTCCTTCGCTCCAAGAGGCTCGCAGGAGGCCCCATGAAGGCGCCAGGACAGCCTCGGGCAGGCTTCACTGGGCGCCCGAGGCCCCAGACGAGTGCCCAGAGAGGCGAAACTCTGTGATTCTTCAGGCTTCCGCCACATCCGCCGACCCCTTGGATTTTCCCCGGGATCGTTCACCACAGCTTCCTTGCAAACCGTGGGAAAATGAGGTTGTTCAGGGCCCGTCACAGCGAGAAGGGGAGCCGACATGGGTCGCAAACTGGCCCAGACGGCTTCCAGACGGCCCAAGCGAACCCCAAGACGGCACAGGGAGGTTTTTTGGGTTGTGTTTGGGGCCTTGCACGGGTGCCAGAGCCAGGGAAGTATGTTACACCCCGGAGACATCTTACGGTTGTCGGCGGTTTCCAAGCGGGATGTCCCGCTAACTGTTAATGTTCGGAGATGTTTGGGCTGACCTTGTCGATGGCAATGACGTCGTTGATGATCACGACACTGATGGCGATGATCGGCTCCCTCTCCTCCTCTCCTCCTCCCCCTGCTCCTCCCTCCTGCTCCTCTTTCTGCCTCTCCTCCTCTTCCTTCTCCTGCCCTTCCTCCTCCTCCTCCTCGTCCACGTCCTTCTTCCCTTCCCTTCCCCGCCTTCTTCTCCTCCTCCTTCTTGTCCTTCTCCTGCTGTTCCTCCTCCCGCCCTTCGTCCCTCTCCTCCTCCTCCTCCTCCTCCTCCTCCTCCTCCTCCTCCTCCTCCTCCTCCTCCTCCTCCTCCTCCTCCCCCGCCTTCTCCTCCTCCTTATCCCCCTTCCCTTCCCGGCCTTCTCCTCCTCTTCCTCCCCTCCTTGTCCTCTTCCCCCTCCTCCTTCTCCTCCTCCTGCTCCTCCTCCCCCCCCCTCCTTCTCCTGTCGCAGGGCCCTCGTGGAGGCTTCTTGGACCGTCTTGGTGCGGTCTTGGGAGGCTCTCGGGCCGCCCCGGAGCGCCCCAGAAGGCGCACGTACGAAAAATACACGTTTTACGAACAGAACGGGCGATTTTATACAGCGAGAGGCCCTCCAGGGGCGCATAGTGAAAGCCTCGTGGGGCGTCTTGGGGGGCCTCTACAGCCGTCGGGAGGCCGTCGTCAGCGTTTTGGATCGCTCTTGGACCGTCGAGGACCATGTGGAGCTCTCGTCGAGGCCGCTCGGACCGCTCCTGGAGCGCTCTCGGAGCCGTTTTCGGAGCCCTTTTGGTCCGTCTTGGACGTGTGTTTGCGCGTCTTGGGGCCCTCGAGGGCTCTGTGGGAACCCTCTTGGGGGCGTCTTGGGCCGTCTGGGAGCGGGTTTGGGTGGCTCTGGGGCCGTCCAGGAGCGGGGGGCACCCCAAAAGGCGCACGTGTGAAACAATATACGTTTGACGAAGGAAACGAAGGATTTTTTGCGTCTAGAGGCCCTCTGTGGGCGCATCGTGGATGCCTCTTGGGGCGTCTTGGGGGCCTCTTCAGCCGTTTGGAGGCCGTCGTCAGCGTTTTTGATCGCCCTTGGACGGTCGAGGACCATGTGGAGCTCTCTTCGAGGCCACTCAGACCGCTCCTGGAGCGCTCTCGGAACCGTTTTCGGAGCCCTTCTGGGCCGTCTTGGACGTGTGTTGGCGCGTCTTGGGGCCCTCGAGGGCTCTGTGGGAACCCTCTTGGAGGCGTCTTGGACCGTCTGGGAGCGGGTTTGGGGGGCTCTGGGGCCGTGCAGGAGCGGGGGTCACCCTCAAAGGCGCACGTGTGAAACAATATACGTTTTACGAAGGAAACAAACGATTTTTTTGCGTCTAGAGGGCCTCTTGGGGGGAATCTTGGATGCCTGTGGGGGCGTCTGGGGAGGCCTCGTGAGCCGTCGGGAGGTCGTCGTCGATGTTTCTGATCGCTCTTGGACCGTCTGGGACCATGTGGAGCTTCGGGGAGGCAATTCGGAGCGCTCCTGGAACGCTCTTGGGGCCGTTTTCGGAGCCCTCTTGGGCCGTCTTGGACGCCTGTTGGCCCATCTTGGGCCCTCTAGGGGTCTGTGGGGGACCCTCTGCGAGGCTTCTGGGGCCGTCTGGGAGCGGGTTTGGGAGCCTCTTGGGCCGTCGGGGAGCATCGGAAAGATCCAAAGCTGAATTTTTTAAAATTTTTGGCGTCTAGGGACCCTTGTGGAACGCATCTCGGAGGCCCTCGGGGGAGCTCGTGGGGACCTCTTCTGCCGTCGAGGACGCCTCGTGGCCCGTCTTCGGGCAAACTTGGACGTCTTGGAGCGCTCGTGGGGCGTCCCAAATCCATTTCGAAGCCACCAGACGCGTCCCTACACGAATTTCACTTGTTTTTCCACGTTTTTCGTCACCCCCAAAAGCGCACGTGTGAAAAAATATACGTTTTACGAAGGAAACAAACGATTTTTTGCGTCTAGAGGGCCTCTTGGGGGGAATCTTGGATGCCTGTGGGGGCGTCTGGGGAGGCCTCGTGAGCCGTCGGGAGGTCGTCGTCGATGTTTCTGATCGCTCTTGGACCGTCTGGGACCATGTGGAGCTTCGGGGAAGCAACTCGGAGCGCTCCTGGAACGCTTTTGGGGCCGTTTTCGGAGCCCTCTTGGGCCGTCTTGGACGCCTGTTGGCCCATCTTGGGCCCTCTAGGGGTCTGTGGGGGACCCTTTGCGAGGCTTCTGGGGCCGTCTGGGAGCGGGTTTGGGAGCCTCTTGGGCCGTCGGGGAGCATCGGAAAGATCCAAAGCTGAATTTTTTAAAATGTACATTTCACAATGGGAATGGCCCAATTTTGGCGTCTAGGGACCCTTGTGGAACGCATCTCGGAGGCCCTCGGGGGAGCTCGTGGGGACCTCTTCTGCCGTCGAGGACGCCTCGTGGCCCGTCTTCGGGCAAACTTGGACGTCTTGGAGCGCTCGTGGGGCGTCCCAAACCCATTTCGAGGCCACCAGACGCGTCCCTACACGAATTTCACGTGTTTTTCCACGTTTTTCGGGAGCGGATGAGACTCTGGGGGGTTCCGGCCCGTCCGGCCGGCCCCCCCCCCCCTCTCCAAATGGACCGGACCGGGCTCCCGGGGGAGGGGTTTGGGGAGGGGGAACATCTCACACGCCGATGAACCCCAAGGGGTCGGCGGATTCCCCTTTCGTTTTTCAATGTTTTTTGGGGTCCTCTACTTTTCGAGTTTCCGACGCTCGCAGACGGCCCGAGAGGCCTCCAACATCCAACATCGTCCAGACATGTTGGCTCAAGTTGGGGCTCCAGCGCCTTCGAGTCAAGCTTTTGTTGTGCTTGCGCTTTGATCTAGCTGATTACTCCGACTTGGCGCTTACCGTTGCACAAATGGGCTCATTCACGAGGCGTGGTTCATCTCTGCCGCGCAGGCAGGAAGATCACCCCATTTTGCAGTCGAGCGGCGGCGAGTCGTGGAAGACCGTTGACGAATTCGACCACCCGCGCGGGGGCGCTCTGTTTCTTGCGACTGCAGGCGCTCCTCTGCTCCATCCCGCCGCGGGGGCGGCGCCAGCCTGTTCGCCGACCAGGCCGTCTGGCATGCCGCAGCGCTCTGCCGCCGAGGCAGGGCTCGCCGCAGGCACCCCCGGGCGAGCCAGACCGCGCGGCGCGGGCGAGACAGCCGGCCAGCGGAGGGTTGGCAGGGGCCTCCAGTGGCACGCCCGCGGCCGCCAGGGCGCCGGCAAACATGCGTGCCCGGCTCCTGGCGCAGGAGCAGCTGCTGGCCAACGTCCAGCAGCAGGCCCAAGAGGTCAGGCGGAGGATTCGCGAGCACGAGGCCGACCTGGCGGAGATGGAGCTTCGGCAGGGCGAGCTCGTTGACAGCATGCAGGCAGCTACCGAGGAGGCGACGCCCGCCACCTCTGGCGCTCCAGCCATCACCACGTTCATGATGAACAACATTCCGATGTCTGCAACGCAGAGTGATCTGCTGGACCTGATCGACAGGACTGGTTTCGCGGGCCGTTACGACTACGCCTACATGCCGACAACTTTCGACACTGGGACCACTAAGGAGATCGCATTTGTAAATTTTGCCACCGCAAGCGACGCCAGCAGGTTCTCCATCTGGTGTAACGGATCGCGGCTGACCGGAGTTGCCGGCGCTGGAACCAACGGGACAGTGATCGAGGTCAGCGCGTCGGCGACGCAGGACTATTCGGAGAACGCCAGGATGTGGCAGGCGAGCCAGCTGCGCCGCATTAACAACCCCAAGTTCCACCCCTTCATCGCCCCGAGGCCAGCTGCCTGGTGAACGCGAGGTCGACAGTTTCATTGGACGCGCGGGATGTGGGGGTTGAGGGGGGGAGCGCGGAGGAGGCCAAGGAGGGCGAGGACGAGGACGCGGGTAGCGCGCAGCGCGCCCTGAAGCGATCCAGTTGACGGCGCTGGGCGCGAGCAAGGCGGGCCATGTGCCGAGAGGTTTTTTTTTAGTCGCGCGCGCGTGCGTGCGTTCTTGAAGAAAAGGGATGCGGGTGATGCCGAGAAGAGGAGGGGAGAAGAGGAGGGGAGAAGAGAAGAGTAGAAGAGGAGAAGAGGAGGACGAGACATACAGAGCTGGGACAGTGCAGGGCCGATTGTTCTGCTCTGATGCAACGTTTCAATCATGGAGCAGTTTTAGTGCATCTCGTTGCACCTTTTTTTCCGCAGCGCGCCGCACTCGTTTGAATCTTGAAAACGCACAGAAATCTTGAAATCGTCGGCAGCGCATGCAGTATATCTTGTGGCCGTCCTCGTTCCAGAGGGCCTCACACAAAGATTTGTGCACATGTACGGCTGCATGAGGCTCCTGTAAGGCAGCATGCAGCTCCCTTAGGGGCCCCCTCGCGCCCGCCTGAGGCCTTGATTTCTGATTTGCGGCGGCGGTTGGGGCAACGCCATTTTCTTAATCCACTTTTTCAGCTGGAGGAGGAGGACGATTGAAACGAATGTAATTTCGATAATTGAAGCACGAAGGAGGTCTGACTAAGAAGTGTCACGATGTGTCCTCCGAGCGGCCCGTGCGCTCTGCTCGGGCCTGGGATTCGTGTTTTTTCTGCAGGAGATGCGGTGCGCATACCACAGGCAGGCAGACAGAGGACTTGTTGAATGCTTGCGCGAACCACAAGCTGGGCAGTCTCTCGTGTGCAAAATCACTTACTTTTTCACTCCGTCTCTCATCTGCGAAACCATCACAGGACAGCTTCGATGCTTCCAGGTGGGAAGCCTCCCTGGCCACACGAGCCCAGGGTGCTCATTCCCGAGGGTCCGGGCGGTGGCCTTCGCGACCGACTGGGAGTCCGCGGTCGGCGACCCGTGCCTCTCCACGGACCCTGTTCTGTTTCATCCTCTTCGAGGGTCTTCCGTGTCGGCCCCTGCTCCACGCTCTCGAGCGGACGATCCGTTTGCCGTCGAGGACATCGTGGAAGGCGTTCGTGATCTTCTTGACCGCAATCTTCTTCCCAGTGTTCTTGTTGTCGCGAAAGCTGCAGACGCAGCCGTACGCACCAGAACCCATCTTCTTAATCAACTCCAGATGGACGGGGACGTCGAAGGAGATCTTGCCGTCGATCGGGGCTCTCTCCTCGGGTGCCCTCGCTGCCCCAGCTGCCCGCGCGTGCTCGTGGCCGCGGCACCGCGGGCCTCGGAGGCCAGCGCGCCGCCTCGGCGGGCGCGTCCCCCTGCTCTGCCACCGGCGCAGGGCCGAGTCAGGGCACTCGAGGCCTTTGCCTGGACTCCTACGTAGGCGCGTGACACTCGCCGACGTCTTCACACTCCTCCACTCCTGGCCCCCCCCCCGCCCCCAAAAAAAAGAAACAAAACAGAAAAGAGAAGATGCCTCCAACATCGCGTGCTCACTGCGGGCCTTCGGGGGGCTTTCGGAGGGCCCGAAGGCGCTCCCAAGACGGTCCAGTAGGCCTCCCAGACGGTCCAAGAGCGCGCCAAGACGCCCAAGATGGCTTCAAGACGGCCCGAGAGGCCCCCAACCCCCCCAAGAGGGCTCCAAGAGGACACCTATGAGGGCCGCAAGAAACACACATCGCTGCAACTCTCCAGGGAAGCGTCTCTGTTTAGCATATCCCCTTGTTGTTAGTAATAGCGTCCACGATGGCCTCAGCGAGCCCCAAGATCGCCACGAGACCATTTCTTTATTGCTTGGGGCATGACGGGCGTCATGGTCCCCGCTCCCCTCCCCCCCTATGACGTAACGCTTCCCCCCCCAGTGCGCTCCAGGCACTGCCGCCGTGCGCGCTGGGATCCGCGTAGGTGTCCGCGTAAGAATCCACATAGGAGTCTGGTCCGCAGTCGTCGTCGTCGTCGTCGTCGTCGTCGTCGTCGTCGTCGTCGTCGTCGTCGTCGTCGTCGTCGTCGTCATCGCTCGTGGCTCGTCGCTCATCGTCGTGCGCACGGACGCGGCAGGAGCCTGTTATTTGTTCCGGGCCGATCACGGCAATCATCTGAGGGGGTGTGGAGGGGGTCGATGACATCATGTTTCGCGCCGGCGGCGTCTGGGAATGCTTAGGAATGACGGAGGACGGGTAGCACCAGCATGTAGGTGGCGATCTGCACCACAACGCCTGTGTACACCACAGTGCCTGCGTGCACCACAGCGCCTGTGTACACCACACCGCCTATGTACACCACGGCAGCCGCGTGCAACACAGCGTCAGTTTGTGCCACCGTGTTCGCGGGCACAGCAGCTGTTGTGTACACCGCAGCGCCTGCGTACACCACATCAGCCGTGTGCAACACAGCACCAGTGTACACCATAGTGCCTGCGTGCATTGCAGTGCCTGTGTTCACCACGGCGCCTGTGTGCACCACAGCAACCGTGTGCAACACAGCGCCACACTTGCATATCGAATGTTAGAAGGAATCCGTATGACAAAATGGAACGCTTGTGGATTCCACAGAAGACAATACAAAATAATCCTGATGGACAAGGAAGCGCCGCTGGAATCTACGAGTTCTCCCGAGTCCGCCCGCATCACCCTAACTTCTCCCATCTGCGTCCAGGAGGCTCCAGCTAAATTGGCCGTGCGAGAACCAAGTGGACCGATTCAATCGACCATTATGCGGTGCACTGCGCGCTGAATTGCGCACGTGCGCTGTAGCGCCACCCCGCACGATAGGGGGTAAGGAGGAGGAGGAGTACGAGGAGGAGGAGGAGGAGAAGGAGGTGGAGGTGGAGGTCGAGGAGGAGGGAAGAGGGAAGAACGTCGCATTCGATGATCAGCACTGTCCTGCACGCAGGCACTGGTGTACAGTCGCGCTGCGTTGCACGCGGATGCTGTGGTGGAGACAGGCGCTGTGGCGTGCACAGGCGCTGCGGTGCACGCAAGCATTGTGGTGTACACAGGCGGTCTGTTGCACATGGTTGCTGCGGTGTACACAAGTACACCGGCGCTGCAGTGTACGCAAGCACTGTAGTGTACACAGGCGCTGCGTTGCACACGGTTCTTGCGGTGTACGCAGGTGTTGTGGTGTTTGCGCGCGTTGTGGTCCACGCGAGCGATCTGTACACAGGCGCAGTGGGGCATATCGCCACTTACATTTTGCTCGCGTCGTCCTCGTCGTGGTCGTCGTCGTCGTCGTCGTCGCTCGTCGCTCGTCGCTCGTCGCGTCGTGCGCGCGGGCGGGGCTGTGGTGCCGGAGCCACACGGCGGGGGGGGGGCGTTACGTCATACCCCCCCCCGCCCCCCCCACCCCCATGACGCCCGTCATCGCCGAACATAAAGAAATGCTCTCCACAAGACATCCCAAGAGGCCTTCGAGACGGGCCAAGAAGCTCCCAAGATCGCCCCGAGACGTCCCACAGAGGCCTCCAAGACGGCCTCAGAAGGCGCCTGTGGGGCCCAAAGCGCTCTGAGACAGTCCAAACGCCCACAAGACACCCCACTCCGCACCCTTCCCCGCTCCTCCCAGACCGTTCTCGTTCCTCCCCATCCCTCGCCGCTCCAGGCAAATGTGTGCGAGGCGGTTGCGTCTCTGGCCGCGAGACCCTGTCAGTGCATACCTACATGTGCGACCACCCTTCGGGTGATAAGGAGGTTGTGTGTGTGGTGGTTGGGGCGGGGGAGGACGGGGGGACTAACTGGAGCTACAGCTCAGCATCGCATAGCGGAGCATAGCATCGCATCGCGTAGCATCGCACAGCACAGCATATAGACTATAGAAGAGCACAGCGTTGCACAGCATACATCGCACAACATAACATCGCATATACATATACCTGCGCACCTGGGCCCGGGCCACTGGGGACGCGACCTCTACCGCAAGTGTGTGTATGTGTGTGTGTGTGTGTGTGTGTGTGTGTGTGTGTGTGCAGGCCCTTGGGGGGCCCCAGAGGCCCTCAAAACGCCACCACAAAGCGCCAAGGGAGCCCGAAGACGCTCCCAGAGGGACCCGCGACGCCCACAGGCTGCTCCAAAGGCCGCTCCGAGACGCACAACATGGCCCCCAAGACACCCAAAGAGGCCTCCCAGACGCCCCAAGAAGCTCCTCCCAGAGGCCTCCCAGGAGGGCCCCAAGTGGCAAAATCCGTTCCGTTCCCAGGGAAACGTGTATTTTTCGCAGATATACTTCTTTGGGCTTTCACAGCGTCCAAGACGGCCCAAGAGGCCCCCAAGACTGCCTCACAGGCTCCCAAGAGGGCTCCACGACGACCCAAGGGGGTTGATGATGACCATGCTGATGCCGATGCTGATGCTGAAGCTGAATCTGATGATTAGGGGGACGAAGACGATGCCGACGACGACGATGACGATGATAATGATGATGGTGAAGCTGATGCTGATGATGATGGTGGTCGTGGTGGTGGTGACGATGGTGGTGGTGATGATGCTGATGATGATGACGAGGAGGAGGAGAAGGAGGAGGAGGAGGAGGAGGAGGAGGAGGAGGAGGAGGAGGAGGAGGAGGGAGAGGGGGAGGAGGACTAAGCTGAGGGCGAGGACGAGGACGACGACGAGGCGGTAGCTTCGTTTGTGAGTGAATTGCGAGGATGCCTCAGGCGAGAGCCCCCTCCCTGTGGGGTCCGCACTTCATGTTGGTAACCCGAGCGGGTCTTCGGAGACTTGCAGCTGTCGTCGTTTTTCGGCTCCAGCGGCTTGCTCTCGCGCCCCAGCGGCTCGCGGGGTTGTCCCAACGGCCGTTGCCCGGACGGCTGCGCGATTTTGCCATCGGAGAACGCGCCCCTGCTGGGGGCGGCGGCGAGGGCGCCGAAGAGTATCGACACGCACCCCCCTGCCAGGAGGAAGGAGAGGTGCGTTAGGGGAACAGGCGTGATGGAGATGGGGGGGAAGGAGAACGAGGTGGTGGAGGAGGGGGATGAGGAGGAGGAAGAGGACGAAGAGGACAAGGAGAAATGGAACAAGGAGGGCGAGCAGGAGTGGGACACGGAGGACGAGGAAGACAAGGAGGATGAGGAGGAGGCGCAACAGAGGAGGGCGAAACGGGGGGCTTTGGCCAGGGCGGAGAGGACAAAACGAAGGGCAATCTACATATATTACAATGCGGGGTCCTACCGTCGGGGTAATTGTTTAGGTATTTGCATATGCATAATTATGCATATGAGCCCACCACCTGGAAATCCGTTTCTGTTCATGTTCGTGTCGTGCGTGCGGGCAAGGCGAAGCTGCATGGGCGGGCGAGAGGAACGAAACCGCCGTTGTTAGGTCGGAAGTGGGCTCAACGATTCCCTTTCCCCGGTTGGCCGGCGGTGGCTCGGGGGTGTCCTGCCGGTGCCCCGTGGTGTTCCGTAGTGTCCCATGGCGCGGTGTCCAGAGGTGTTTTGCGGTGTCCCGTGGTGTCCCGTGAGATCGATTGTGAGATCGATATTGCGATCGATCCTGAGATCGATCGACAAATCGATCGTGACATCGATGGTGAGGTCGACTGCGAGATCGGTAGATAGTAAGATCGAGAGATAAAACGGGATATCGATTGTGAGATCGATAGGTAGATTGAGAATGAGATCGATACATACTCGGCCAAACATTTAGCCCTGCACTTTCGCTGTATGTCCTCAAGAAAGAGAAAGGACCGGTCAGGTAAGTGCCACCCGAGTTGATCGTGAGATCGACAGTGGTGCCCCGTGGTGTCTCGTGGTGCCCCGTGGTGTCCCTTGGTTCGGGCCGAACGAAAGGGGGGGATTGGGAAAGGGGGGGTTACGAGATCTGGTGCATGCAGCTGGTTTCGGCCCCACCGAGGGTCCCATTCCTCGATACATAGCTGCCTCCGACGCCAGGAGGCGCCGGGAACATCAGCTACGGGAGCTGATTCTCGAGCCCCCCCCCTTTGCTGTCCCCCCCTTTCGCCCGGCCCGACTGGTATCCTGTGGCGCGGTGTCCCGTGGTGTCGCATCGACAGTGATCAGGAGGGAAGAAAGCACACAGACACAATGAATCGTCGATCCCCAGGGAAAGATGGAAAAGTATGGGCACTGGGGGAAGACAAAAGCCAAGAAAATAGGGGAACATATGGGGAATCATGTTATTTGTGTGTATTTATTGCGAAGGCCTTACGGCCGGTGCCGCCGACCCTGAATGGCGACGACGACGACGACGACGACGACGAGCGCTCTTGGGGGCCTCTTGGGGGTAGTTTGTGGGCCTCTTGGGAAGCTCTCAGGGGCCGCTTGGAAGCCTCGTGGGGGCCTCTTGGGGCTTCCTGGGGGTCTCTTGGAGGGGGCCTGGGACGTCTTGGAGGCTTCTGGGACGGTCTTGGGGCCATCGTGGGCGTCTTCGGCCGATCTTTGGGCGACTCGGGGTTATTTGTGTGTACTCCAGATTTCGTAATAAAAGGGAGGGGGTCTGGACCCTCCAGACAAGCCATTTCAGACCCCCCCCTTGTGGGAGAACCCTCCAGAACATCGTCCCCAGACCCCCCCAGGCCCTCCAAGATAGCCTGGAAGAGACCCCCCCCCGAAATGGGACCCCCCTCCCTCTTATTACGAAATCTGGAGTATTTATTTGTGTGTCCCAGGGCCCCTTCAAAGCTGGCAGCTCGATCGGCGAGGTCGACCGACGACCGGCCGCGGCCCGCGGCGGCCGCGGCCCGCGGCGGCCCGTGGCGGGGGGGCCCCGGCCGGCGGAGCCGACCGGGGAGGGGAGGGGGGAGGGGGGAGCCGAGCGGGGGGAGGGGAGGGAGGGAGGGAGGGAGGAGGGGAGGGGGGGAGGGAGGGGAGGGAGGAGGAGGGAGGGGAGGGAGGGCTGGAGTGAGGAGGGAGGGAAGGGAGGGAGGAGGGAGGAAGGGAGGGAGGGAGGGAAGGGGAGGGGGGAGGACGACGGAAATCCCCCGGTGGCAGCCCGCCAGGGCTCCTCCAGGACGCTCGGGCTGAAGATCCGGCTGGTAGGTATCTGCGCCGCCACGACGTCCGCGGCGTTCCTTGAGATCCTGCTAGGCCTGCCTTCGGGCGCGCGGCGGGTCGCCAGGGCAGCCTTCCTCCCTCCCTCCTTCCCATTTCCCTCGCCCTCCTCCCTCCTTTTCCCTCTTCTCTCCTCATCCCTCCTCCTCATCCCTCCTCTTCCTTCTCCTCCTCCTCCTTTCCCTCCGTCTTCCTCCTCCTAATCCTCCTTTTTCTCCTCCCTCTTCCTCCTCCTCCTCCTTATCCTTCTCCTCCCTCCTTCTCCTCCTCCTCCTCCTCCTCCTCCTCCTCCTCCTCCTTATGCTTCTCCTCCCCCCTCCTCCTCCTCCTCCTCCTCCTCCTCCTCCTCCTCCTCCTCCTCCTCCTCCTCCTCCTCCTCCTCCTCCTCCTCCTCCTCCTCCTCCTCCTCTTCCTCCTCCCTCCTCCCTTCTCCCTTCTGCTTCTACTCCTTCCCTGCCCGATGGGCCGACAGGTGGTCCACAGGTGCAGCTGGCTCTCGAGTTCCATGATGTGTGCCAGCAAGGACCGCACTGCGGGGCGCTCAACCCAGCTCCATACAGCCACTGACTGCCGCTCCTCCTCCCTCCCCCCTCCTTCTCCCCTCTCCCCTCTCCCCCTCCTCCTCCTCTCTCTTTCTTCCTCCGCCACTTGACGCACAAGTGGAAAAGTAAGGGGGAACTCTTGCTGATCTCACTGCGACAACTCAGGTAAGAACGAATGGCATTGACTGGACATATGTTGCTCGTCTCTCTAGCGTCCAGACAGGCACAAGCATGCCGAGCTCCGCGCCGACACCGACTCCAAGGACCTCTCCCCCCTCCCTCCTGATGAACTTTTTATGCATCTCGCAGTGCATGTTGTTCAGACACACCAGATTCCTGAGGCCATGGCCTCGCCCACCTGGTTTTAGCTAGGCCTCGACGGCGTCCGCAGCGGTGGTCGCATCGCATGCAGCGGCCAGACCGAGTCCTGTTCGCTGCCAACGAAGTCGCCAGGTCTTGCCATCGGGCGGGCCCGTCTGCACCTGGCATCGGGCCGGGCGTGGCTGGGCGCGCGGGGAGCAGCTCGGGGCCACCACGCAGTGGTGTTGGCAAAACGCGTCGGGCTGCTCTGTCAGTGGGGCCCCATGTCACAGGGTGCCTTGGTATTCTTGGGTTTCGAGGGTTTTGTTCTGGAAAGCGCGACGTTCCCATACCAGAAATCCATGTGCGTCCTGGGGTCTCAGGGTTGGTTTTCTTGTGGACTGGCCTCCACTGTAAGTCAGCTCTAGCATGGCCGTCCGCATTTGGCATCGGGCCACAGAGGGCGCGGGCCGCCATTGTTCGTCCGGCTCGCCCGAGGCAGTCGCCTTCGTTGAGACATCTCGACACTTTGCTTTGAGAGCACACGCGTCCAAAGACAAACTTGGGACCGCCCGAGACACCCCCACGCTGTGGACGCTTTTTTTGGGGCGCCCCCAGCCCTTGCGGCTCCCGAAACGGGTGCCAAAGTGCAAAGCCTGCAATACAGTGGATGCCCATGCCAAGAAACACCCTGCTCGCCTCCAGGGCGCCCTGGTGCTCTTGGGTTTCGATGGTCTTGCTGTGGAGCGCGTGGCGTTCCCACACCAAAATGTCGGTGGACGCCCTGGGGTCTCAGGGTTGGGTTTCCTTGTGGAAGGTTTCTTGTGGACCGGCTCCCACTGCATCGCGGTGAGCACTGCACAACCCAAAACGAGAAGCCTGGGGGGCCGAGGCAAGCACACCACTGGAGACGTCTCTACAATCTTGGCGCGACTTTTGGAGTGTCCCCACGCCTGGCTGCTCCGCTCTGGGGTGCCCAAGTACTCCAGATTTCGTAATAAAGGGAGGGGGGTCTCATTTCGGGGGGGGGTCTCTTCCGGGCTATCTTGGAGGGCCTGGGGGGTCTGGGGACGATGTTTTGGAGGGTTCTCCTACGGGGGAGGTCTGAAATGGCTTGTCTTGGAGGCTCCAGACCCCCTCCCTTTTATTACGACATCTGGAGTACCGCGCTTGCCATATCGAGGGCGCCGAAGCAAGCACACCGCGCGGGGGATTTCCCCACAATCTGGACAAGACTTTTTCGAAGGTCCCTGCCCCCCTGGCGTCTCTCCTTGTGGGGTGCCCACATACCACGCCTGCTATATCGCGACGGCCACCTTCGCGTGGGTCTTATAGTGTGAGCGACAGTGAGTGTGAGTGATATGTGAGTGCGAGTGACTCTGAGTGTGAGTGAGCCTTGGTACGATTGAGTCTGAATGTGATTGCGTCGGTTGATGGGTCTGTCTGAATACAAGTGGGGTTGAAAATGAGAGAGTGTGAGTGCGAGTGAGTCTGAATGCGAATGAATGTGGGTGTGACGGAGCTTGAGTGCGAGTTACCTTGAGTATACTTATGATGAGTACGAGTCAGAGTATGAGTAAGCCTGAGTACAACTTAGTCTGAGTATGAGTGAGTCTGAAGGTGGGTGAGTCTGAACATGAGTGAGTCTGAATGTGAGTTAGTCTCAGTTTGAGCGAGTCAGAGTGTGAACGAGTCTGGGTGTGAGGGAGTCAGAATAAGCGTCTGGGTGAGTCTGAGTGATTGAGTTGGCGTGGGGAAAGAAGCGAAGGGAGGAGAGGAAGTGGAGGAAGGGGGCCTATGGGGGAGTCTACGTACGTCAAAACCAGAGCCCTACCTCAGGATGTGGGGACAACGCAGCGGCCGCCCAACGGGGGAAGGATCTGCGCCGGCGAGGACCCATGGCACGACTTGCCCGGGAGTGCAGCCGAGACCAGCAGGAAGGTGCACTCGGCCGTGGACGCCGGGCGCCTCGCGCCGCCGCCCAGCGCCCTCAACCGCAGCCAAGCGCCGCTGCGCCCCCCGCCGGCAGCCAGCCGCCAGCGCCTGCCGCGCTCTGGGCGCTCGGCGCGGCCGAGCGCAGCGGCCGAGCGCAGCGCTGCCCTTGGGCCAGTCAGCCACCAGGGCGCGCTTGGCAGCCCGCGCGCCTCGGCACATCCCAGCGCCGCGCCTCGGCTGGCGCGCCACTTGGCGGTGCAGCGCGCGGGAGCTGAAGCCTGCCACCTGGCGCTGATCAGCGCTGCAGCGCCGCCTCGTCTTTTTGCCTCCGCAAGCCGCGCTGGGGGCGCAGGCCGGTAGTGTCGAATCCCTTCCTCCTCCTCCTCCTCCTCCTCCTCCTCCTCCTCCTCCTCCTGCTCCGCGGCCTCCTCCTCCTCCTCCTCCTCCTCCTCCTCCTCCACCTCCTCCTCCTCCTCCTCCTCCTCCTCCTCCTCCTCCTCCTCCCGTCGTCCCCTCCGCCAACCAGGGCCACCCTGTCTACTCGAGCTCGGACTTTCTCATCTGCCAAGCTGTGGCGCAGCACGAGGCCGAGGAGTGCTTCTGGCTGTGGGGCCTCCTGCCCAGCTACATGACCGAGGTGCCTGCCCCACCCGAAGCCGAAGAGTGGTGGTCCTCGGACGAGCTGGAGGTTCACGCAGGCTGCCTGGGCCCTGGCTCGCAGGAGCGCCCCGTTCTACTCTTCGGGGACGCCAGCGGTGGAGAGGACTCCCGCTCGGCACAGCTGCGGCGTGTGGGGCTAGGCCTGGCCCAGTTTGCCGACGAGAGCTGCCAGACGATGCTCGCCACCATTGCAGGCCCAGTGCCAGGCGTGCCACAGACGGCCCCCCGCGGCGAACTGTATATGTTTTTGTGTGCGCTCAGGTGGGCCAGTGACTACCTCATCTATGTTACCGACAACCCGTCAGTTTTTGATGGAACTCGGCCAGAGATCTGAATCCTCAGGGTGAGAACTCCGACCTGTGGGGACATATTGCTGAGATCCTAGAGTATAGGCAGCGAGGGCACATCACCCTCCTGTTCACCAACTCGCACTTGGAGGCCGAAGACGCTGTGAACGGGAAGGGCCAGGGCTGGCTCAGCCGCGGCAACGCTGCCGCCAACATCCTCGCAGCCGAGGCCGCCAGTCGCAGCCGTGCACCGCAGGCGGTGCGGTACCGCGTCCTCGACGCCGAGAGGTGGGTTTTCTGGGTACGCATGCGAATCCTTCGTGCATCTCTGGACGCGCTGGCCCAGGAGCAGAAGGTCGAGGACGGCGAGGGGAGCCACCGACGCGGTCGCCGCCGTGGCGCGATCAGCGTCCCGCGGCGGGGAGAGGTGCCCTTGGGTGGCAATGGTGACCCCCCCCCTCCTCCTCCTCCTCCTCCTCCTCCTCCTCCTCTCTCCTCCTCCCTCCTCCTCCTCCTCCTCCTCCTCCTCCTCCTCCTCCTCTCCTCCTCCTCCTCCTCTCCTCCTCCTCCTCCTCCCTCCTCCTCCTCCTCCTCCCTCCCCTCCTCCTCCTCCTCCTCCTCCTCCTCCTCCTCCTCCTCCTCCTCCCCTTCTCTACCACCTTGGTCCGAGCGTGGAGGAGGTCCCAGTGTTCAGTTTTATTTCCTTTAGACGGCTCCCTCAGAGGTCTTCCAGGGGGTGCGAGGATACACATCGCTGGGGGGTGGACTCACTCCTCCCACCGCATGCGATTGCATCAGGACCTCGGGGTTTGGTTCTGCGCGTGCTGTGGGATGTTCGGTAGCCAGCAGCTTTTAGGTTTGGGTAGGTTGTGCCTGGAACAGGCCACTCCTACCCGCAGAGACTATCTAAGCCGTATCGAGCGGGGCCTTGTCCCCAAGGCTTACAGCCAAGCCGAGCTCGAGCGTAGGGCCCACAAGGGCTCTGCCTGAGGCTGTCTCGGACTTCATCCAGGGACTTCAGACTCCAGACTCCCGTCGCCCCCTCGCAGCCCTGTCTCTTTGGGGCGTGGGTGGCCATCGCGACCAGCGTGCACGGAGGTCCGCCCTGGTGGATGTTGCCTCGAACGACAACCGACCGTCCACCCGAACCCCGCTCGGGGGTCTGGCCAGCTGGCCGGGCCCGCGCCGCCAACGACAAGGGGGAGCAGCGGGAGCAGCAGCAGCAGCAGCAGCAGAGACCCCAGGCGCAGGGGCGGCCGGCCCGAAGGGAATGGGGGGGAGGGGCGCGACGATCGACTAGACGTAAGAGTGA